GCAATGTAATATGTGATTGAGTTAGGCTTTCTCTAGATTCAAGTAATTGCATGAAAAGAAATACTATAAGCAGAGAAGACAAATCAATATGTGTATTTCTCTTTATGAGAACAAATTTATGCCCATTTCATAATGAAAAAGATGGCCCGCTGGTTTCCCTGATAAATAGTATCATCTTGTGGTTTATTATTGTCTTGTGCTATTGGTAGATTAGGCACCCAACTGGGATACTAGCAAAGCCAGGCTTGGGGAGGAGAGCTTGTCTATGAAGCTATGAACTTCATAGACAAGCTCCATCCACTCTACCAGTCACTTTATAAATGGGCCTAAAGAGCAAGTTTTAGAAGGCTAGATAAAGAAGGTGACTTTTATGACCAACAGTCTCCTCTGCAGTGAATGTTCCCTGGAGCATACTTACAAGGGCATGCGTATCCTCCCCAGGACTCTTTGCCAATTTTCTAATATTATTCTTTCTACATCTCTTGCTAGTTGGGCAACTTTTCAGCCATTTCCGTAAAATGGAGGTAACCAGATAATACTGCCTTGAAAACTTGTCCCTTGTGAGAATTGTCATTTTTTCATCTGTCTTCCACAGCCATCTCAGGTGGAGCTATAGCATAGTGGCTATCATGTGTGTAGATTCTGCCCTAAACCAGACCAGATCTGGTCTACAGATTCTTCTACAAAACAAGTCATTTTTTAAAATTCCATTTAAGTGGTAATAGGCAAAATCTCCATGAAGCCATTGTTACTAGTTGAGGGATAAGTGGAAAAATGGTCACTTAGTGAATCATGACTAGCAGAAGGAGAACATTTGTTAACAAAAAAGAGCGAAGGCTTACTCTAATACCAGCCGCTAAGGCTGTTCGTCATTCTCAAATGGGGCTTGTCACAGGTTCCACACAGCAGCTCCCCTGCAGAGATGGTCAATGATATTTCATCTGTTGAGTCATATGGCCCAAGTGAAAGGAAAGCTTGTATAGCTGTAGTGCCTTTTCCTCACTCCAAACTGGCAACTTTAAACTTTTCTGATAATAGATAAGGGCAGCATACCTGAATGTGGCATGTATTGCCTCTAGAATTGTTAATTAGCAACTTCAGTTTTCTTCTTCTCCAAAGCTTGTAGCAACCACAATTCTATCTTGAGTTTGACTATTTTAGACACCTCATATAAATGGAATTATATAGTCACTTAGCATACTCTCTCTCTCTCCCTCTCCCTCTTCTCTCCTTTCTCTCCCTCTCACTCTCTCTCTTTGTGTATATATCTATATCTATATATATCTATATAGATAGATAGATAGATAGATAGATAGATAGATATCTCCAGGATGGCCTTGAATTCACGACGCTCCTGTCTCTGCTTCCTGAGTGCTAGGATTCTAGGAATGTATCACCATACCCAACCTCATCAAGGCTTTCCTTAATCTTCATTCATTAATAAGACATCTCTTGCAAGTGGAAGTGTCTAAGAAGGTTTCACATGATAGATCCACTCGAAACACCCATCTCCCTGAGTTTTCTAGGGGAGTCTGGCATTTGAGGCTCATTGGTAAAGGCTACTTTTTGAGTCTAGGCTTTAGTTAACACATCTGGCAACATTCCAGACTTCAAACCAACATGTTAAATCTTGAATTCCAGAATGTAAATTTGGCTTTATATAATTTATTACTTTATTATTTTTAGTCTAATAACCTTAGAATAATTCTTATATGTGCTGTCCTCATTCCTGATAAAAATTGCCAAGAAATTACAACCCTGCAAGAGTACAGGGTAATTCACCCCAGACCATACTTTGTTCTTCCTCAGCAGTATCCTTACTTTACTTAATATGATATCCAAGAGGAATGCACACTTAATTGACAATACAGCCCACAAATATTACAATCAGGCCCCAGAATTAATCCTCAGCTACATCTGCCTTGCACAAACAGAATGTAAGGAATTTATTTATAGTTGTCATAAAGACTTAAATTTTTTATGAGGACCTTTAGATGGACATATGGCTTATTTTTTTATTTATGAATCATCTCTTGCATAAGAAAAAAATCATCCTATGCTACAACCTTTGTCATGAAAGTGGTGGTTTGAATCTGAAATATCCCTTGAAAGTTCATGCAAGCTGAGGACATCTGGGAGCTGATTGGTTCATGAGGGCTCTGACCTCATCAGTGGGTTAATCCAGTGATAGATTCACAACTTAATGGCATTGTTGGGATGCAGTGCCTAGTTTAAGGAAGTAGGTCACTGGAGGTGTGCCCAGGAAAAGTATAACTTATCTCTAGCTTCTTCTCTGCCACGCTCTGCATTCTAGCTGCCATGAGGTGAGCAGTCTCCTCCACAACACATTCCCTTCCTCCTGATGTCCTCACCACAGACCCAAGTGATGGGCCACGTGAATATGGACTAAAACCTCTGAAGCCATGAGACAACAAATATTTCCTCCTTTAAGTTGTTCTACTCAGATATTTTGTCACAACAATGGGAGCCTGGCTAACACAGTGACTCACTGCCTCAATCACTGGCTCTGCTAGTGCTTTAGTCTCCATCTGCACCCCATAATGTGCCACCACTGGTGATAATTTGAGTAATCATGATGCTGCCACATGCTGCAGGTTGTTTAGAAAGTTCCCAGAATGGCTGGATTGTCTATAAAAATAACAGCACTTTCCTCCTAGATATTTATTTCCTTAAAAACAATTGCCATGTGCTATGCTTTTGCTAAGTAAAGAAAAATTGTCCCATTTCCCCACTGGCAAAGATGTTATCCATATGTTCCTCAATATGTGAGCAATCCAAACCTAGGGTTCCATTCTAAGGTCAGTTTCCAAGGACCACTTTTGGAGCCAATTGTTGCTGTGGTCAGGACCAATAGGAACCTGTTAGCACACTCAAACTGTTGAAGAAATATTTAGCATAAAGGATTGTTTACAAAGGATAGGAGACTATTCAAGGAAAACAACAAGAAAAAGTAAATCACTTTAAACCATTCTACAAAAAAAGAAAGACCTAACTTGTAAGCTATAGGGGGAAAAGGAAAGAATGATTCCCAGAACTCAAGGAGAGTTATAGTATAGAAGGGATGTCCACTGACCAGAGCTGTGGTCTTAGGTAGAGAAACACAGTCAACAACAACAGGCCAAGAAACATGAGAGAAGCCAGTGGAAAAAATATCTCAACCTCTAGCTTTCTTTCAGGTGTCCAGTTTCCTATTTGCTCTTCTCAATTTTACTCCACAAGTCTTCCACCCCTATGAGTTAATGCTATAGTCAGCTGCTTACCCATGGGACAATAGGAAAATGATTAAAATTGTTTTTGTGGTCCTGTCTGGCTATTTTCTCCTACCTTTCTAGCCCTTCTTTCTCAGAGCTGTCAAATTTCCTGAAAAAAATCTTGTAAAAATCTGATTACTTGCTTTTTGGTGTAAACCTACATGCTTCTGTTGTTAAATTGTTGCCACTTTGTCAAATGATCAGAACAGTCTCAGGGTCATCTGTAATTTGTTGTTTTGAAAGTTCTCAGAATGTCTGGATTGTATATAAAAATAACAGCACTTTTCTCCTAGATGCTTCATCCCTTTAACACAATTGCCATGTGCTATGCTTTTGCTAAGTAAAGAAAAACTGTAAACATCCTAGAAAATGTGTTGCTAAAAGTTGTCAAATACGTATATAGGATGAATATTTAGACTGAAATTCTTGATCCCCAAACTGAAAAGAAAAGCTTCAACTGTTGATTAGAATTAGGAGAATAATTTTGCATGTCTTTCTACAATTGTGTTTGAGAGGAAAATAATGATTCTTGAATTACAATCTTCATTTTTAATTCTTTCTCCATCTAGATACTTTCTATTTAGACCTCCTGATATGCTCCACCCTCAGTCTACCCTGCTCTTTGCCCTGAAGCTTGTATGAATTATGTTTCCTCCTCCTTCTGTTTTCCATTTGGGTTCTGCCAATGGGAAACCCAAGAAGGAGATAGGAGGAAGGGAAAAATGTGAAACTGGTATTTATTTTTCTGATTCATGAGACCACCTAGGGTTTGCAGCTAGTCACAGATTCTCTTGGTTATCTCATTAACATGAGTTCCCAGGCTTCTCCCTCCCCAAGTTCATTTGAGTCTAGGAGAAGATGCAGAGAGTCTGATACTGGCCATGGTTTCCTGTACAATTCTTTTAATTTCCCTACACACTGCCCATATTTTATAATGGTCCTTTAAAAAAATAAAACTGGTCTTGAAAAATGCTAGTTTAAGTGTGCAACTCTTTCCCGTTAAGCCTGACTGATACACATCCCTTACTATCATACATCCCTGACAGATATGCAGTCAAGGTTTTCCTTTGGTTTATTGGAAAAGGGAGTTGTTAGTTGTTTTGTTCAAGTTTATTCTTCCTACATAGTTCTACCATTGTCCCACAGGAGGGTTTTATTTTCCCCATAGCATAATAGTTCTTTTTATCTTGTTTGTTTATGGTTTCAGGTCTTTCACTGGGATTATGAGGACAGAAGAGAAAATAGACAATAAAAGGCAAAGATTCAAATCCTTATATTGAAATCCTGCTTACAAAGATTTTTCAAGAGAGCAAATTCCCATCCATATGCTGACAACTCTCCTACAATTTATGCTATCTTAAACAAATTACTTGCATGGAAAGTTAGGCCTAGTTTTTGTTTGGCTGTTGTGTTTCAACTATAAATCATTTAAATTTCTTTTTAAGATGTAATGTGAAAATATGTCTTAAATGTTCTATTTAAACTATTAATTTCAGAAATACTATTGCAGTTCACTTCAACACTAATTAACAAACAATGAAACATTTATATAGGGATATTCTCTTTTCATTTAATATTTTTCATAATAGTATGAAAATACCAGGGAAAACAAAAAATTATTCAAATCAATAAAAAAATAAAATTCCATTTCCTTAGTGTGTGACCTCTGTATTACTCTACTAGCAGTGGGCAAAAATGCTTATCAACAAACAAACATTCCCGGATTCTCTAGGTGGGAGAAGTCCCCTTGGCTTCAATAATTTTAGGTGTTGTGTCTATGCGGTATTTACTTCTGATCTCTTCTAATTCACCATCATCATGTATAAATGAAGCAAGCACTGGAACCTGAGAAAAGTAGTTCTTAGCCAGGATATGTTTGTGTTTGATCTTGTGAAGAAAAAAGCATCCATATTCCTGTAAAGAAAAGAATAATAAATTCCATTAAAAATCACAGATAAATTTTGCCAGGTAAAAACACTGTCATGCCTCAATGTCTCAGCTCATCAGTTCATTCAGCAAAGAATAAATTTTGCATATTATCTTTCAGGGCTCAGTTCCCATGATGCTTCAACCTGGCAGCCTTCTCTGAGTCTCCCTCTGAGCTTTTCTAAGTCCAAACCACTGTAAGGTACCAATCCAATATTCATTCTCTCTTCCATTTGTCCTTGCAGGTGTAGTTTGTTTGTTTCTACTTTCTAGGTTTATTTTTTACTTTACATTTTATGACACTTTTACTGACACTTTTCTTTTTCCTTTATTGTGAAAACATCAAAAAAGCAAAGGGGCTGGATTCCAAGATGGTGGATAGAGGGAGGAAACAGAAAGCGAGCCTCCTACAGTGAAATCTTGGAGAAATGCTGGAGACACACCTTGCAAGCAAGGCCACCGAGAAGAGGCAAAACTTTGACCCCTCCACACCTCCAGCCTGCTCAGAGCATCTCCACTTCATGTTAAACGGAGAAACCAGGAGGGCCCCCAGGGCACAAGTTGCCTGTGCCCAGATGGCTTGGGAAGACACAGACAAGGTGAGCTAAGCGGTATGCAGTACTTCCACAGAATCCCTGGGCCAGATCAGCATAGCCCCCTGGACAGACTGACCCCAACCCGGGGAAAAAAGAGAAACTGAGTAATAAGCAATAAGAGCAATAAAGACACGTAGCAAAGAGGGTGGGGCACCCTGAGTGCCAAAGGGGGGAAGGGGAAATCCCTCCCGGAACTGTAAATAAACAAGCTGGGCCTGGCTGAAGAGGGCGGGAGTGGGGCGTGCGCCCAGCAACCAGGAGCGGGAAAGCTTGTGAGAGTGGCGGAGGGAGGAAAACTACACAGGAGAGGGGGGAAGACCCACCTCCCACGTGAGCTGTAAACAAACACCAGCTGGCAGGAGCAGCAGCACACGCCTAGCAATCAGGAGTGGGAAAGCTTGTCAAAGTGGCAGTGGGAGGAAAACTCCACAAGAGAGGGGGGAAGACCCACCCCGTCCCCCCCCCCATGTGCTTGGAAAGGTGAAAGCTTGTAGCAGAGGCTCGTGCAGAGGAGAACTCTAAGTAAACAAAGTCTGTGGGGGCCAGGGGAGTGTTAACGTCACCACAGAGATCTGCATAAATAACACCTCCAGCAACAGCAGGCTGACAGCAGTGGGCAGGCAAGCCACAGCCACAGATACGATTCACAGACCTGTCTCCAGACTTTTTTTTTCTCTCTCCCTACCTTTGATGAGAAAACAACCAAAGTGCACCCACATGCCGAAAAACTTACTGAAACTGTATTGCATTTGAACTTGGGACACTTTGTGGGGTTTTGTGTGTGTGTGTGCAGTTTTGTTCTACTTTATGTTTCCCCTTTGATGAGACAACTACAGAACAACATCTGAGGCACCATCTCCAGGATTGGTGGCTGAGGGACGAACACCAAAATTATTAAGACTGAAACTTCATTGCATTTGAACTTGGAGGGTTTTTTTTTTGTTTTATATTATTTTATTTATATAGATATATTTTTTCTTTCATTTACTTACTTTTTATTTTTATTCTTATCTTTATTCTTTTTATTTTTTATTTTCAATCCTCTCTCTGCCTCTCTAATGCCTTTCAGCTTACAGTTGATTAGTACACTGTCTCTCCCTGTTTATATCTTTGAAACTTTTTTGTTTGTTTCTTTGTTTTGTTTTCTTTCTACTTGATTATTTGTTTTTCCCTTTCCTTTAACTTCTTTGCTTTCCATCCCTTCTCACCCTTCCATTCTAAATATCACTAGTGTTATTATTACAGCCAGAAAATACTTAATTGAACACAGTACAGGGACAATAACAACACCAAGGGCAATGACAGGAAGACAGAAAAAACAGGGAAACCAGTTTCCCCACAGCAAAAAATTAGTACAGGAACCAGAGGGAAATGAAGAAAACAGATACTCAGATCCAGACTCCAACAAAATGAAGATAAACTATGCCAAAGAACCCAATGAAGCCCACAAGAATAATTTAAAAGAAGACATACTACAGGTACTCAATGAGAATTTTATAGAGATGATACTGGATATGGTCAACCAAAATGTACAGGAGACACTCAAGAAATTCCAAAATGACAAAAATAGGGAATTTGAAAACGCAAAAGAAGAAATAAAGGAAGCCATAGAAGCACTGTATAAACACCAGAGTGAAACAGAGAACACAATAAATAAAAAGATAAATGAACTCAGGACAAAAATAGACAACATTAAAGAGGAAACGACCTAGGATATGGAAAACCTCAGAAAAAAGAATGAAGCAGAATTGCAAAACAAAGCAGATGGCCAATCCAGCAGAATAGAACAAACAGAAGACAGAATCTCAGAACTCAAAGATGAAATGGTAATTAATGGAAAAACCGAAGAACTATTAATTAAACAACTCAAGAGCTGTGAGAAGAAATGCAAGAACTCACCGACTCCATCAAAAGACCAAACTTGAGAATCATGGGCATCGAAGAAGGAGAAGAGGTGCAAGCAAAGGGAATGCGTAATCTATTCAACAAAATAATAACGGAAAATTTCCCAAATCTAGAGAAAGATATTCCCATACAGATGCAAGAGGCCTCCAGAACACCAAACAGACCAGATCAAAATAAAACTACCCCACGACATATCATCATTAAAACAACAAGTTCAGAAACTAGGGAAAGAATATTGAAGGCTGTAAGAGAGAAAAAACAAATAACACACAAAAATAAACCCATCAAAATCACAGCAGACTTTTCAACAGAAACATTAAAAGCAAGAAGAGCGTGGGGTGAGATCTTCCGGGCACTGAATGAAAATAACTTCAACCCCAGGATACTCTACCCAGCAAAACTATCATTCAAAATAGATGGAGCAATAAAAGTCTTCCATGATAAGCAGAAACTAAAACAATATGTGACCACAAAGCCACCACTACAAAAGATTCTTCAAGGGATTCTGCACACAGAAAGTGAAACCCAACTTAACCATGAAAGACAGGCAGCACCAAACCACAGGAAAAGAAAAAGCAAGAAAGTAGAGAGTAACCTCAACTTAGGTACACACAATCAAACCTTCAAACAACTAAGACAACTAAATGACAGGAATCACCACATACCTATCAGTACTAACACTTAATGTTAACGGACTTAATTCACCCATCAAAAGGCACCGCTTGATGAAATGGATTAAAAAGGAAGATCCAACAATTTGTTGCTTACAGGAGACCCATCTCACTGACAGAAATAAGCATAGGCTTAGGATGAAAGGCTGGAAGAAGATTTACCAAGCCAATGGCCCCCGAAAACAGGCAGGAGTAGCAATACTTATCTCTGACAAAGTAGACTTCAAACCTACATTGATCAAACGAGATAAAGAAGGACATTCCAACTAATAAAAGGGGAAATAGACCAAAAGGAAATAATAATTATCAACCTGTATGCACCCAATGTCAATGCACCCAATTTCATCAAACATACCCTGAAAGACCTAAAAGCATATATTAACTCCAACACAGTGGTTGTGGGAGACTTTAACACCCATTATCATCAATAGATAGGTCATCCAAACAAAAAATCAATAAAGAAATCCAAGATCTAAAATATACAATAGATCAAATGGACCTACTTGATGTCTACAGAACATTTCATCCAACTTCTACACAATATACATTCTTCTCAGCAGCCCATGGAACCTTCTCCAAAATAGATCATATCCTAGGGCACAAAGCAAGCCTCAGCAAATATAAGAAAATAGAAATTATACCATGCATACTATCTGATCACAATGCAATAAAACTAGAACTCAACAACAAAAGTAAAGACAAAAAACATGCAAACAGCTGGAAACTAAATAACTCATTACTTAATGAACAATGGGTCATTGATGAAATAAAAGAGGAAATTAAAAAGTTCCTGGAAGTCAATGAAAATGAAAACACAACCTACCAGAACCTATGGGACACAGCAAAGGCAGTCCTGAGAGGAAAGTTTATAGCCATGAGTGCATATATTAAAAAGACTGAAAGATCCCAAATCAATGACCTAATGATACATCTCAAACTCCTAGAAAAACAAGAACAAGCAAATCCCAAAACAAATAGGAGAGAAATAATAAAATAAGAGCTGAAATCAATGAAATAGAAACCAAAAAACCATACAAAGAATTAATGAAACAAAAACTTGTTCTTTGAAAAAATAAACAAGATCGACAGACCCCTGGCAAACCTGACTAAAATGAGAGAAAAAACCCAAATTAGTAGAATCAGGAATGCAAAAGGGGAGATAACAACAAACACCATGGAAGTCCAGGAAATCATCAGAGACTACTTTGAGAACCTATATTCAAATAAATTTGAAAATCTTAAAGAAATGGACAGATTTCTAGATACATATGATCATCCAAAACTGAACCAAGAGGAAATTAATCACCTGAATAGATCTATAACACAAAATGAAATTGAAGCAGCAATCAAGAGTTTCCCCAAAAAGAAAAGTCCAGGACCTGATGGATTCTCTGCTGAATTCTATCAGACCTTTAAAGAAGAACTGATACCAACCCTCCTTAAACTGTTCCATGAAATAGAAAGGGAAGGAAAACTGCCTAACACATTTTATGAAGCCAGTATTACACTTATCCCAAAACCAGGCAAAGACACCTCCAAAAAGGAGAACTATAGGCCAATCTCCTTAATGAACATTGACGCAAAAATCCTCAACAAAATAATGGCAAACCAAATTCAATAACACATCAAAAAGATCATTCACAACCAAGTAGGCTTCATCCCAGGAATGCAGGGGTGGTTCAACATACAAAAATCAATAAACGTAATAACCACATTAACAGAAGCAAAGACAAAAACCACTTGATCATCTCAATAGATGCAGAAAAAGCCTTTGATAAGATCCAACACCATTTCATGATAAAAGCTCTAAGAAAACTAGGAATAGAAGGAAAATACCTCAACATTATAAAAGCTATATGACAAACCTACAGCCAGCATTATACTTAATGGTGAAAAACTGAAAAAATTTGGAGGCTACTTAAAAAGCTAAACATTAATCTACCATTTGATCCAGCAATACCACTCTTGGGGATATACCCAAAAGAATGTGACACAGGTTACTCCAGAGGCACCTGCACACCCATGTTTATTGCAGCACTATTCAGAATAGCCAAGTTATGGAAACAGTCAAGGTGCCCCACCACTGACAAATGGATTAAGAAAATGTGGTATCTATACACAATGGAATTTTATGCAGCCATGAAGAAGAACGAAATGTTATCATTCACTGATAAGTGGATGGAATTGGAGAACATCATTCTGAGTGAGGTTAGCCTGGCCCAAAAGACCAAAAATCGTATGTTCTCCCTCATATGTGGACATTAGATCAAGGGCAAACACAACAAGGGGATTGGACTTTGAACACATGATAAAAGTGAGAGCACACAAGAGGGGTGAGGACAGGTAAGACACCTAAAAAATTAGCTAGCATTTGTTGCCCTCAACACAGAGAAACTAAAGCAGATACCTTAAAAGCAACTGAGGCCAGCAGGAGAAGGGGACCAGGAACTAGAGAAAAGATTATATCAAAAAGAATTAACCTAGAAGGTAACACACATGCACAGGAAATTAACATGAGTCAACTCCCTGTATAGCTATCCTTATCTCAACTAGCAAAAACCCTTGTTCCTTCCTATTATTGCTTATACTCTCTCTTCAACAAAATTAGAGATAAGGGCAAAATAGTTTCTGCCAGGTATTGAGGGGGTGGGGGGTAGGGTAGAGAGAGGGGGCAGAATGGGTGGTAAGGGAGGGGGTGGGGGCAGGGGGGAGAAATGACCCAAGCATTGTATGCACATATGAATAATAAAACAATAAAAATTTTTTTAAAAAGCAAAGGGATTTTTTTAAAGATATATGTCTAATATCATCTTTAAAACTGGAACTAAGTGCTAATAGGAATATAAAATGAATCTGAAAACTTCATTGTCCAAGAGGTCACATTTTGAATAGATGATAATCTACACCTAAGAATAGTCTTAAGGATTTAGAATAGAGAAAACAGGCATGTTACCACACAGTTTCATTAACTTGCTTTTATTCCTTTATCATTGATTTCATTCCATTTCTAGAACTATCACAGAGATTGTATGTCTGAATCCTGAGTATCATGCAATATTTAATATGCCATGTAATCTTTGTACTTAAAGCAGATATATTAGAATGATCAAAGTCCTTGTTACTTATAGGCAAGAAGCTTTTGTCATTTAGCTTTAATGTCAGTACAATACTTGGCACCAACTGTACCAAAAAAGATATCTTTGATGAAGATGTTCTCATATTAATTAGGCTTTTACTCATTTTCAAAAGAATCAATGCTGGGCTTCAGCTGTTTGTTTAGGTAGTTGGGACTCTGATCTACTTTCAATAATTATTCTGTAAGAATATAAAATCTTTTGTTTTCTTCCCTGCTCCCCCCACCCAGGGCTTTCTTTTGTCTTAGATTTGGCCCTATGAGAAAATCTTTCACAGACGAATACCTTACTCTCAGAAAATAAATTTTAGGAAGAAGTACAGTTAGTATTTGTGATTCAGTTGAAGAGAGGTCTAGAAATAGATATCACATAGAAACTTCTTGAAGGAGTTCAGTAAATTGCATATAATAAAATTAGTTACTATTTATTAGTTATTATTAGTTGCTAGTTATTTGCATGTGCATACTAGGGACAGCTAGATGTCAGAAAACTTTTATTTTGTAGGTCCAACTCCTTTATTGAGCTCATATTTTTCAAACCAATAATGCATTGTTTTTATTACAATTACAACTCCTTTCAAATACAGATACTACCCAGATTGCTTCATACCAAATACAAAGTAAGTTGAGATCTTTAAATAGTGGTCTATTTAGTTCTCAACATTTCCCTGTGATACAATATCATTATCTCCTTTTCATAAATGAGAAAACTGAGGTATTGAGATGTTAACAACCTTGCCCAATCCTAATCCATAAGGGGTAGGGCCATAATTCAAAGTCAGGGTTGCTTTCATGGTTCTCATCAATCCCACATTTTTAGCTAGTTTCTAAAAATTTATGATGCAAAGATGCAAGCCAATGTTCTTCAAACTGCTGGTGACAATGACAGGATAGAACTGGGTCATGACTGCTGATTTTTTTTCATACTTTCCTACTTTGGCCAGTGTGCACTCTATGAGAGATGGATCTGCTTCACTGAGAGTCCACAGAAGCCTTTTCCATCACGTGTGAAATTGCAAGGAGTAAAGGTTACTTTAAATTTCAAATATTTTCTACTTCCTGGGAAAGCAAATATCTCTGTGAATTAAGGAAATTCTGGAAATGCTTTAACTTTCTGCAAAACATAAATTATTCTTTAACTAGACTAAATATTAATAAATGATTACAAAGCTGAAAACCATAAAAACGACAAATGATTTTTGAGTTTGTCTGGTTGAGAACCTTTGCTCCATTTATGGAAAGTCAGAAAGATTGGTGTCCTGAAATTAGAGATGCATGTGAATAGAACATTTAATTTGATACTGCAGTCATTTGATTGAACACACAGGGGGAGTTGTGTGGATTAATTGAAGAAGCACTGGCGTATCAGCTTTGGGAATGAACATCAATCTCATTATAGGTCCTAGATGAACTGATATTGCTAGTGTTGGCTATGCTTCCAACATATTTAAATATTTATGATCCCCCTTAGTTTACAAAATACAATATTTAACACAGCTTTAGTGTCTTACTGCCCTTTCTGCCAATCCCTAAAGTAAAATATTTCTTAGCCTGGTTTCTTAAAACTTGAATAGCTATTGACAAAAAGGTAAAAATATAACTAGTTTCTTTTCTTTACACCATTTCTCCATCCCTCCTTCAAAAAAATAAGCAATGAATATTCAAAATGACTATTATATTTGATGTCATTTCTTTATTTTCTTTTAGCTGACATCTTGTGTGGGATGAAAGGTAGACCATTTTAATCAACTGAAAGCAGAGAATCAATATCAGTTCTTGGGATCCTGGGCTTGCTTAGTGTAAATGGAGATCTCTAGGAACTCTTCAGGGGCCCTTTAGTTTTGTTCATCAAAATGTTTTACAGATTGCATCTTATAAGTTACAGAAATTAAAGGGTATTTAATTTTTGCAGTGCTTTCTCCAGGCCTGATCACTTGTAAGTGAATCAGAAATGGAGCCTCTGCTGTATGATTGCCATTTAAAGCTCAAAATTAAGAACAAAATTCATTTGACAGTGAGTGTGCTCTTCGGCAGATTCATGATAACTAATCAAAGAAGAGATTTGGGGTTCCACAATACCCATGTCATGGTAATATTCATTTATTTATTCAATAAATATTTATTAACCTCCTAGTCTGTGACAGACATTACTGTAGTTATTAGAGCTATAGATGCAATAAATGAGACCTTCCATGCCTTCCATGGAATTAATGTGCTTGAACTTGTTATTAGAAGATAGTGTTTGGGTATCATGTATCATGATTTTGGTATCGTATTTGAGTACTTATGTGTCCAAATCTCATCTTTACCTATGAAATGTCTTAACTTCATTTTAATATTGATCTCTACAACACATACCATCCACATATTTGTTACTGTTAATCTTTAAATTCCATTTCTTTATTTAGTGGAAACATTTAAGTCATTCATGAATATATAAAAGGCAGGCAGTTTACTTCTAATTCCAATGACTAAATTACTTTTCTAAATAAAGCTCGTCTACTTACCTTTTCAATATTTGTTAGCTTGAGATGAGCTTGTGCTTCATCTCTGGTGAGAAGAATGCAGTTCCAGGGGGACCACTCCATAGACTTATCCCATCTGACCATGACCAGCTCATTGAGGTCTTCGCAGGCACTGAGGACTGACTGGGATGACCAGATGTTGTCTATCAGATACTGAATATCATGGAGCTGCATGCCAAAGTAAGTTTGAAAAAATAATTTTGTTTTCTTCTAAATAAATGTTTTAAAGATTATATTACTTGAGAAAATAATTAAACAATGTTGAGTACATTTTTAAGGGGGAACATTACTTATGAGGTTTCAGTAGCACAAAGACCCTTGCTTTGTTTTACCAAGCTTATGTTCATTTTGCCTAAACTACATTATTATCTCAACTCATAAATCCATCTTTAACCCAGGATAAACTGTATGTATTTCTTCCAGGATGCTAATTTTAAGCTATATAACTTTAATAATGCCTTAATATCACCTTAACAATTATATGACATTAAATATCTTTAAAAATTCATTAGTAACTATTATTTTCTCCTCAGAGCCATGGTAGGGTCCTTTTAAGGGTTTTTACTTATAATTGATTAAGCTGAGATTTATAAAGATAAAATAATTCACTTAGTGCTAATTAAGTTATTGTTTTAATGAGAAAAGATGGGGAAATGAAATAACCGTTTTAAACATTTTTATAAATTAAATTGCATTAACTACAACTCTTGAATGACTTTTTATCATGAGGTCTGCATATATAAATTTAGAATTGCTAGGTGTGAGCTTCACAAAGTATAAACATTGAAAAAACAACCATTATTTTTAAAAAAATGTGTGGGGAAGCAGGAATCTTTTATGTATAGCCAAAAGATAAAAACAAAACAATTTACAAAGTGTTTTTTTAAAAAAAAAAAAGAGCTTGTCACAATAAGCTACTAAAATGTTTCATAAACGGATAACTCAATATACTATATTCTGCTAATGCAAAGTAACTGCTATGAAAAGAAATCTATAGGACTTTAAAATTTAATGTCTTGAATGTTTTTACTTATATTCAAAGTGACCTATGGCTTTTCAAATTTTTGTTTTTAGTTGCATCAATTGTGTTAAGAATTTCAGAATTGTATCTAAGAGAATGAAGTACTTGTTTATGTAAATGTCACCTATGCACATGATGAGTACAGTTGGCAACCTCTGAGAGTTGCTTTTGAGCAGTTGTACTTGAAACTGTTGCAATACTATTCCTTACTGTATTAGGTGGTATAAGTATGGATTAAAGATCAACTAGAAGATTACTAAACACTCAGCTCTCTTCTCTACATAGAAATTTTACTATGTGTCTGTTTTAGTTTTCATCTTAGTACTTTACATGCCAGCATGTTCAAATTTAGTATATGCTAATATTTATCATTGCCCATAAGCTTTATTTCATTATAAATTTCAAACAAGACAGTTTCTTGTTTATTAACTTATTTATGTCTTCTCCCTTCCCTCTCCTCCCCCACCTGTGTATAACATCAGTTCTACAATAGTAAGGCTCTTGTCTTTTTTTCTTAGTGGTATCTTCACCTCTTAAAAGATGGCCTGGGCACCAAAGCCAGTGTTCAATAATTCTGTTAAATAGAGGAATGAGTGAAAGTCATCCTTAAGGAAAACAAAGTATATAGTAGAAAGTCATGAAATAAAAATTTTAAATGTCTATAAGAGAATTTTATGTACATATTATTATTACAGTAGTTGTTTTACACTCATACAGTCATTTACTTGAGTTCTCAAAAATTAGTAGCTTTGATATTCAAAAATTTTATGAGAATTTCAAAAATCTAGAAAAAAATTTTTGGACTCTCATGAACAAACCCTTTATGACTCTTCTTCTTTCATTTTCTAGTCAATTATTATTGCCATGTCAACAAAATTACTCTGTTTTGGTATTCATATGAACTGGAAATTGAGAAATGAAAATAGAAAAATACAGATTTGGGAAAGTCAGTGTCTACAATGAAAGCTGCCTGATTTCTTTTTAAAATTACAATATTCAGAAATTCTTTATTTTAGGTTAGGTATGTTGGTAAACACTTGTAATCCCAGCACTTGAAAGGTAGAGGCAGAAGGGTCATGTTTCCAAGGCCAGTCAGGGCTACAAAATAAGACCCTACTTCAAAAAAACTAATGAAATAAATCTTTATTTTAAAATCTCTTTAAAACTTTAAATACACCTTGTGACATAGTCAACATCTTTGGATTCAGAAGTATCTTGCTTATATATTTTTCCTCAATGATATCCCTCTCTCCATTGATTAACATAATATCTGCCCCTTTAAAAATGAGTAACAGTCCCATGTTGTGATTGTGTCTGAACACTACACTCAGGACCTCCACAATAGTGTGCTCCAGACTCTTACTGAGCTACACATCGCACACCCCACTTCCACACAGGTATCTGCAAACTGCTACCAGAATTGGTGGCTCTCTCATCCATCCTCTAGCACCAGAAATTCCTGATAAGAAGATCCACAAACCCACTTTTCTGGAAGAGCTTTGGGAATCATATCTGTCAGGGGCTTCAGTGTATTGCACATATAATTTTTCTTTCCCTTTGAAGGAAAATAGAATAAATCATACTGGGAGACTATGAACACCTATCCCAAATGATAATATATGCAGTAGCACAGGAAAATAGTTCCCTGCAAGATTCCTGTAAGAAATACATGTGTACAGGTTTTTGTTGTTGTTGCTGCTGCCCCTATTTTAATGTTTCTATTGAAAAATATTTTTAAAAATCCTACTCTTTATCTTGCTTTGAATGAAGGAAAATTTGCAACTGGATGTCATTGGCCATAGTTTCTGCTCTAGGGAGAGTAATGAAAAGAGATACTGGCCTCTTCTTAAAATTTCCCTCTTCAAGGAAATTACCAGGGCACTACTTTTGGCCCATTCCTTTTTTCTTGGAAAAATCCAAACTTCTTATATATTTTAAAACTGAAGAGAAACCTCATCAGTTCAGGGCAAAAAAATGGAAATAATATATAATTTAGTGCCATAGAATATATTTCAAAAGAAACTACAAAGAGAATCTTTGTGTTGAAATGCATATACCATCATCATTTACAGGAGCTAAGAAAGGCCCAGCAAAAAGAGGTTGGGAGGATGCTATGGTTTGGATACAAAATAGCCCCAAATGTTCCCCAAAGGTTCATATTTTGAAGGCTTAGTTCCAAGCTGATTGGACTTTTGAGAAGTTATTTATCATGAGGGCTCTGACTTCATCAGTGAATTAATCCATTGATAGGTTCATAATTTGATGGCATTATTGGGAGGAGGTGAAAACTAGGAAGTGGAGCCTGGAGGAGGTATATTACTGGATGATCTACTCTCTCTCCCTCTCCCTCTTCTTTCCGTCCCTCTCCCCTGGTAATTATGAAGTAAGCTGCTTTCCTCTACCTTTCCACAGACCTATAAAAGGAATGGAACCAGACGACCATGAACTGAAATCTCTGAAACCAAGAATGAAATTAAATCTTTCCTTTTTAAACTTGTTTTCTCAGGAATTATGTCACAGCAACAGAAAGCTAACTAACACAGAGTGGGACCATCTCTGATCTCATCTTTATTCCAATCATGATGTTATCTTGAAAATATTGTTAACTACTTATATCTGCCATGTCTCTGTTTCCTGGAACTTCTGATTCAGGCAAAGGGACCATTTGTTATTCCTCACTGATCTTTGTAGCACCAGGTTCCCACTCACCTAATCATCTAATCAGCACCCTCAACTTCCTTCCTCTCTCCAGCTCTTTCACTGTGCCTTCCAGAAAGATTTTTCATTGACCATCATCAATGTCAATCCTTGATTATTTCATTGTCAGTAACCCTCCCTTCTATTATGTCAGTTACCTTTTCTCAGTATCACAGCCCAAACTGTCATCTTTCACTTTCCCCACACCTGAAATCTAATATTCAGATATCTCACACTCTGAATATAGCTTTCAATCTCTTCTAGCTTATGTGTTCTGTCATCTTTGCTATAGAAGTTCCATGGCCCCATAGGAACTGTCAGCTCATTGCCACCTTTTATTTTGTTCATATCCATTAACAGGTTTCTGATTTCATTTTCCTTTTTAATGTACATGTTACACATTCCACCTTTTCAATTGCAATCTTATTGTTGCCCTAAATTTCTTTTCTCTATCCATTCTTTGTTTGTGTGTGTATATATATATATCTGGGTTGTGAACACAGTCAAAGAAAATCTCATAATTAGGAAGGAAGGTAAATATAAAGTCATGGTCACTAGTCTTAACTGGGTCATTAAAAGTACCTGACATGTACCTTAATCTCTTTTTGCTTTTTTTTTTTGCAGTACTTTCCGCCTTCTGCAATGATTGCAATTTCACTACCAAATATTCTGTACATTCCTATATTTCTTAACTCTCTCCTCCCTAATCTCTCTCAACAAATGAAACAGGCCTTGAGATGGAAGCCGATAGCATATGACACAATTATTTCCTCCTTTATTTCAGTACAGGAGGTGACCTCGGTCATAAGAAAAGACCAATCTACAGTCATGTTTACATTATAAGCTCTTCTATCATTTGTTCATTTTATTTAAATAATTATATATAAGTACTTCCCTATCCTGTAACTTAGTTCATTTAGTCCTCACAATTTCTCTATGAGTAAGTACTATTAATACCCTTATTTTACAGGCAAGTAGACTGGGGTACATACAAGTTCAATAACATGCCCAAAGACAGCTGCTGAATGTCAAAACGAAAAATTTGTTATGCTGCCTCCAACACCCTGCCCCCATGTCTTCATCTCAACCTACAACTCAAAGTGTCCACACTGTATACTATTTCTGCGGCAACAGAACAGTGCCATATCTGACTGTGGTCTTCATGTTTGCTGCTCCTATGGCCTGTGATCCTTTCCTCAATATGGCCATCAGAATAACTGTTCCTAGTTATTTTTTCTCTTCTTATAGGTCACATCTGCAAGGAAGCCTTTTCTGGCCTGTAAATTACATTCAGATCCCTTTTTAATGCCTACATATGTCTCAATGTTTCTCCTTATCATACTATTATTTGTTTTTATAGAAATTTGTAATATCTTTAATATCTGCTCTTCTAGGATGTAAGGTCTCCTTCACCAGCCTATTTCCATAGCACAGGATAAATACAAAGAACATGTTTAAACCTCAATAAAGGCTGGAATCCTTCTCCACCTTAGAAAGTCAAGGGAGTGGTTCCCATATGAGAATATGCTCAACTAACTGCACTTCATGTCACTATAGCCCTTCAGCAGGCAGATATATTTCTAACATAATTTGTACAATTATTGGTCATACCTGCATCAAGAAAGCAATTTGAGAGTCATCTTCATAATTAGCTTCTGAATAGTAGAGCCTTTGAAGTAAACACTTGTACTTCAAAAATGATTCTCGCTTTTGAATCTCATTCTCAAGATTAGTGCATTGACGACAGCGGTATACTCGTTGTGAGGTGGTTGATATAGAAAATTCTGTAGAAGGCAAATATAAGTAGCAACCATGGCAGAAGTAAATCTTATTATAAAACTTCAGTGGGTCTTGAGGAACCTAAATAGTAAAAAAAAAAAAAGTATAAAAAAGTCAAGCAAATATAAACATCATTGAGGACTAAAATAAGTGTTTAAAAATTGGTTCATTTAAAAAGTTTTATTTTCCCTTAACTTACTATTATATATTAAGTTTAAATTCCAAGCTATATTCATATAATCTGCCAAAACATTAAAAATCTGTATTATTCTTCAACCTCTAAACATATGAAGTAAATCAGTTCGAAAATTAAGTGACTGTCATCTTCATACCAAGGATGCAGGGATGGCTCAGCATACACAAAAATCATTGAATGTAATACAGCACATTAACAGAAGCAAAGACTAAAACCACTTGATCATCTCCATAGATGCAGACAAAGCCTTCTATAAAATTCAACATCCTTTCATGATAAAAGCTCTGATGAAACTAGGAATAGAAGGAATGTACCTCAACATAATAAAGGCTGTATATAACAAACCCATAGCCAACATCTTACTTAATGGGGAAAAACTGAAACTACTTCCCTTAAGGACAGGAACGAAACAAGGGTGCCCGCTCTCCCCACTCCTATTCAACACAGTCTTGGAATTCCTAGCTAGAGCAATAAGACAGAAGAAGAAACAAAAGGAAAACAAATTGGTATGAAAGAAGTTAAACTATCCCTATTTGCAGATGACATGATTTTATACCTAAAAGATCCAGAAAATTCCTAGACACTATAAACAGCTTCAGCAAAATAGCAGGATACAAAATCAATTTAGAAAAATCAATAGCTTCTCTATACAACAACAATGAATAGATTGAGAAAGAATATAGGAAAACAATTTCATTTACAATAGCCTCAAAAACAAATTATTCAATAAACATAACAAAGGCTATGAATGACCTCTACAAGAAAACTACACACCACTGAGGAAAGAAATCGGAGAAGACTTCAGAAGACGGAAAGATCTCCCATGTTATGGATTGACAAAATCAACATAGTAAAAATGTCTATACTACAAAAGCAATCTACATGTTCAACACAATTCCCATCAAAATCTCAATGACATTCATCACAGAGACTGAAAAAATCTACCCTAAAGTTCATTTGGAAACACAAAAGACTGCGAATAGCCAAGGCAACACTGAGCAAAAAGAGCAATGCTGGGGGTATCACAATACCTGATCTTCAAACTATGCTACAGAGCCATGGCAATAAAAACAGCTGGTATTGGCACAAAACACAGATATGAAGACCAGTGGAACAGAATAAAAGACCTGGATACAAATCCACACAGCTATGCCCACCTAATTTTTAACAAAGTTACCAAAAACCATTATGATGAACAAAAAGACAGTCTTTTCAACAAATGTTGCTGGGAAAACTGGATATCTGCCTACATAAATCTGAAACTAGATCCATGTTTGTCACCCTATAAAAGTATGAATTCAAAGTGGATTAAGGACCTTAATATCAGACCTGAAATCTTGAAGATAGTACAGGAAAGATCAGGGAATACACTGGAAGCAATAGGCATAGGCAAGGACTTCCTCAATAGAACTCAAGTGGCTCAGCAACTAAGAGAAAGGATTAACAAATGGGAGTACATGAAATTAAAATTTTCTGCACAACAAAAGAAATGCCCTATAAATTGAAGAGGCCACCCACAGAATGGGAGAAAATATTTGCCAGCTATACATCAGACAAGGGACTGATAACCAGAATATACAGGGAGTTCAAAAAACTATACTCCCCCAAAAATTAATGACCCAAGGAAGAAATAGGCAAATGAACTGAACAGAGGTCTTCAAAGAAAGAAGTCCGAATGGCTAAAAAGCACATGAAAAACTGCTCACCAACCCTGGTCATAAAAGAAATGCAAATCAAAACCATACTAAGATTCCACCTCACTCCTGTTAGAACAGCTACCATCAAGAACACCACTAACATCAAATGATGTCTAGGATGCAGGGGTGGGGAAAGGAACCCTCATACACTGCTGGTAGGAATGTAAGCTAGTAAAACCACTATGGAAGACATTATGGAAGCTCCTTAAAAAGATAAAAATAGATCTGCCATACGATCCACCAATACTACTCCTGGGGATATACCCAAAGGAATGTGAGTCAGGTTACAACAAGGGCACCTGCACACTCATGTTTATTGCAGCATTGTTCACAATAGCTAAGCTATGGAAACAGTCAAGATGCCCCACTACTGACAAATGAACTAAGAAAATGTGGTATTTATACACAATGGAATTTTACTCAACCACAAAGAAGAATGAAATTTTGTCATTTGCAGGTAAATGGATGGAACTGGAGAACATCATCTTAAGTGAAGTTAGCCAGGCTCAGAATGCCAAAAGCCACATGTTCTCCCTCTTATGTGGATTATAGACCTAAAACAAATGCAGCAATATTATGGGACATGGGTCACACAAAGGGGAGGCTGTGCAAGGGAGCGATAGGGCAAGGGAAGAAAACTGAAAACTTGAATGTAGTTGATATGCTCACTGTAGAGAAATGAATACCGAAATCTTAAACTGGCTGGGGCCACCATGGAAAGGGGACTAGGGAGGAGTGAAGCAGACTTGAAGAGATGAACCAATTGGGGTTGTAATACATATATACATGGAAACAACACAATGAATCTCCCTGTGTAACTATCTTCATCTCAAACTAGCAAAACGTCATGTTTCTCTTTTTATCATTTATGGCTTTTCTTCTATAAAATCAGTGATCAGGAGAACAGAACAGATTTGGTGGGGAGAGACCAAAGGGAGGTAGCACCAGTGGAAGGGAGGAGGTGGTAGGGAAAGGGATAGGAGTTTCAATGTGGGCAAATAATGTGTACACATGTATGTAAATGCAAAAATGATACCTGCTGAAACTTTTCTAGGAATCAAGGGAGGGGAGAAGAAGGAGAGTGGTAGAGGGGGGTGAATTCAAGTAGGATATATTTGATACACTATAAGAACCTTTGTAAATGCTACAATGTACCCCCACCCAGCACAACAATAAAGGAAAAAAAAATAAAAGAGGGGGTGGACTCTTTTAACACTTATTTTTTTAAGTTTTTATTTTTTATTCTATTTTACATTAATTATTTCTATAGGCACTAGCTAGTTTCACATATAAATAAAAGCCATGAAACCAGTTGTTCTTTTTATTTCATTTACTTAAAAAACAAATTTGAATTAGTGATTAATTTTCAAAATCTGAAGGTCTATATCTAAAGCAGTGGGCACAAAGTAATTCTCCCTAAAATAATGAATGAATGACTAAAGAATACTGTCAACAAATACCACACTCTTTCCATATTTACAATGTATCAGTACTCTTGGCCTCAATGAGAGGAGAGATCAAATAACAGAGTTGGTATGTGTTAAATGAATGTTGCTGGGTCTCGCTATGTATCCAGGCTGGCCTTAAACTTGTGTAAAGTTCCCAAAGTATTAGGGAGGCATCGTTGTAAGTTATAAGCAACTTGACTATCTCTCAGAAAGAAAGTTCAGCAGTATTTATAAGAATAAAAATATTCACATCAACAAATCAAAATTCATAATATCTAGCATCCAGTCAAAAAAATCAGACATGTAAACAAAATGTTTACAAAATAAGTAGCTAAATTATGATTTGAAATTGGCCTAAAACTGACAGAGGAGCTAGAGGTAGCAGATGAGGACCTTTAATCAGTTATTAAAACTATTCCAGGGCTTGTGGAATGGCTCAAGTGGCAGCAAGCATAAAGCCCTGAGTTCAAACCCCAGTACTACCACAAAAAAAAAAGACTATTCCATATGTTCAAATGTTAAGTTAAAGCATGGAGATTTTTATTTAACTTCTAGAGAAGAAAAATGTAAGATAAAAAACATATTGGGTTGAATTAACAGAAGATTAGAAGCACTCCAGAAGAAAAGATCACTGAACTAGAAGGCAATAGAAACTATCCAAGATGAAGCACATTAAGAAAGAAAAATTTAGAAAATAGAAAAGAGCACCATTAAGCAGTGGTGCAAGTTCAAGCAGCTCAATATATGCCTAGTCAGTGTCAAAATAGAGAAGAGTGAAAAGGTACAGAAAACATTTTTGTGTAAATAATGGTCAACGTTATTCCAAATTTGCTGAGAGCAAATAACCCTATAAATCCAAGAAACTCAGTGAGATTACAAGCACAAAATCATAAAGAAAACAATATCAAGGCACATCATAATCACATCATTCTAACCCAGTAATGACAGAAAAGTTTAAAGGTACCCAGGGAAGGAAAACACATAGACAAGAATAACCTCAAGTTTCTCGCAGGAAAACTTGTTTTTCAGTCTGTCTGGAGAACAGGCACTTTACATCTTGTTATCATTTATTCTTTAAGGTGGTTCTTTTTCTGGCCTTGGCCAGTTTCTTCACATTCATGTACTGATCAGAACTCATATGAACATGTAAAAGGGATACTGCTAATCTCCAGAGTTGTTTTCTGCATAATTCACTCATTCCCAACCCTACATCCTACAAACTTCAGCTGTGTAGGCCCCACAGAATAAGAGTCTTTCTTTATGTCTTCAGCTCAAGAAATCCTCTGGACTTTTCCTGTTCTCTCTCCTTGCAGTATAGCACAGGCACTCTTTCAAGGCAGCGAGATGGGACAACTGTAGGCTTATTTCATTTGTTTCCATTACCTGATGTCTGCTGTTTTCAACACCATTGTTTCTAATTTTTTTACTTCAGGCAGGTGCATAACTCCAAGTAGTCCATCTTGGCCAGAAGTAGAAGAAAGTAATCAATTTTATTTGACAAAGGTGCCAAGACAATTCAGTGAATAATTATCTTTTAAAAAGACATATTGAAACAATTTCTAAAACCAAACAAGAAAATAGCCCTGAATAATCATTTGTATCTTATAAAAATAACTCAGAATGGTCATAGGCCTAGTTTTAAAAATTAAAATGACAAAAGTCTAGGATGAAACACAAAAGAAAATTCTTGGGCCTTCAAGTTAGGCAAAGAATTCTTAAATGCAAAACTAAAAGCATGAGGTATTTTAAAGACAGATAAATTGGACTGTGTCAAAATCAAAATCTTCTGCTCTGTTAAAGATATGATTAAGAGAATGAAGAAAAACCACAGAGTGAGAGAAAATATTTTCATATCACATTTCTGACAAAGAATTCATGTGTAGACTACATACAAAATTCTCAAAATGTAATAATGAGAAAATAAAGAACCCAACCAATAAAAAGAGCAAGTGGCAAAAGGTATTTGCTGACACTTCACCAAAAAGATACATGTATGACCTAAAAGTATATGGAAAGATGCTCAATAGTATTCGTTATTAGGAAAATAAACATTGAAATATTATGTTACACCACTACACGCCTTGCTAGAATTTCCTAAATTAAAAACTGATAATACCACATGCCAACAAGGGTACAAAGGAACTCCCTTATATTGTATATGCAACCTGGTACTAATTTGGATAAAAGTTTAGCAGTCTCTTATAAAGTAAATATATATCTACCATGTGGTTCGACAATGACATTTCTTTGGTATTTAGCCACAACCAATCAATTTACTCCAAAACTCATAATCAAGTGTTTATCATGACTTCATTTATAAAATCGCCAAACTCTAAATAACTCAAACTTCCTATGACTATTGTTAAATAGTGACAATAAAACTCTTGTATATTCCAGCAATAAGTTTGCTCAGCTGTAACAACAAACTACAGGACACACTCAAAACATGAATGAATCTCAAATTCAATATGCTAATTGAAAGAAGTAAGATTCAAAAGACTACATATAATTCCATGATACTACTATTCCATTTATGACATTCAGAATAAATAAAACTACAGAAATAAAACAAAAATCAGTGTTTGCCAAAAGTTGGGTGTCACAGAAAAGCTGTAAAGTAGAAGCTTGAGGGAATTCTACGGAGTGATAGGACTGACTTTTATCATGATTGTGTTGTTAATTATATGACTAAGCATTTGGTAAAATTCATCAAAAAGTGAAATTTATCAAGGGAAATTCCAAAAATGAATAAAAAATTAAATAATTGTGTTAGTTTTGTTTTGTCACTATGACAAAGTACCTAAGAAAATCACTAAAGGGAGGAAGAACTTATTTTGGCTCACTATTTCAGAGAAAGCAGTCTGCGGTTACCTGATCCCATTGCTTTAACCCTGAGGCAAGACCAAACATCATGGCAGAGTACACATGGTGGAGCAAAGCTGCTTACTTCATGGCAGTCAGGAAGCAGAGAGACAGACAGTAAGGGGCCAGGGCTAAATAAAGCCCTCAAAGACAAGCACAGGTGACCTACTTCCTCCAACCAGCCCATCCTCATGATCCAGTCAACTCTCACTAACACCACCATATGGGGACCAAGCCTTCAAAACATGAGCCTTTGGAGAACACTTTGAATTCAGTAACTATTACAATATTATATAAAGGTATAGAATATATCTCTATTATACTGCAACAAATATGTATAAATTGAATAAGTCTATAGAGAATGGCTAGAAGTTTGCTTGGACAAATGAAACATTGAAACAATAGATGGGCAACTTTTATCTTGGACTTTTGTTATAATTTAATATCATTTTAGCAATACAATTAGGTTTTTAAAATCAATTAAAAATAACTAAAATTAAGCCATTTATCTTATTCTCTATATATTGATGCTTTATGTTATCAAAAAGGCTAAATAAGTTTAGTCAGTTTCTAAAATTATAACTCTAAAAATAATTATTAAAAGATTATTTAGGACTGAGGTGAGTGGCTCAAATGGTAGAGCACTTGCTTAGCAAGTACAAGACGCTGAGTTCATTCCCCAGTGCCACAAAAATACCCCTCTATTTCTAATTCTTTAGCAACTCCCTCCCAATTTCGTAAATGCATTTTAAGTAGCTTTACATGGTAGGAAACCGATGAAGCACTTGACTTAGTTTTAGAGAGCAAAAGCTTAGAGACCGCTGGGGAGCAGTCTAAACATGTTGGAGATGGAGAAAGTGGTTTAATTCAAATACAAGTTCCATTTGGAGTTCTCTCAAGATATCTATGTGGATCTTCTCACTAATAATTGTGACTATATAGTAAATATTATAAGGAAGATTGATAATGTATGATATACAATCTCAAAAATGAAAAGCTTTACTCTTTCTGAGGCCTCATAAAGGAGAGGACATGAGGGTTGAGTCTTTCAAAATAAATGGGAATTGGCTGAGTGAAATAGAGGATAGAATTCTAGGTGGAAAAAACAGTATGTGCCAAGCATGAGCTATGAGAGATCACAATGCAGTCAACACAATGCAGTATATAGCTGGAACATAGGTTCAGTTAGTTGGAATGAATTCAAGATTGGAAACAGAAACACAGAAGAGGTTAAAGAGTAAGTTTAGTTTGTGAACACAGTAATCATTCAAAGGAGATTTTGCCAGTAAGATGGTCTTCCACATAAACTCCAAGCAGAATGTTAAAGCAAAATTTGAATACCCTTCAATTTAATGTATCACACCTTAGTATTCTGAAAATCAAATAGAAAAAAAACAAAGAGTACCTTGAGGTGTCTCGCAACTTCAGGATTAAACAGAGGTGTTTTGATGTAATGAAAAAAGAGAGTTGCAATTCTTTTTCTGAGTCCTTCAAGGTTTTCAGGTTTGACTCCTCTCATCAGAAGGTCAACTTCTCTGTCGATCAATTCTAAGATTTCCTGGGTCAGTTTACATTCATGTTCCTATATAAAACAAAAAAGTACTCAGCATACAAGTTTGTTGTTTTTCTTGTTTGACTTTATGAGACAGGGTCTCACCAGGTAGCTCCGACTGGCCTTAAACTCAAGATCCTCCTGCCTCAAACTCCCAAATTCTGGGATTACAGACATGTGCAACTCTGCCCAGCTCTTAACACAGAATTTAAAAAATCACTATCTGTTTTCAAATTTTCTACCCAAACCAACCAGAAGCTACATTCCAAGAGAAATGAAATGATGCTGATAGGAGTATAAATTGGTACAATTAATTTGGAGAAAATTTAGCACTGCCTAATAATAGAGTTGATAATGCATAACTCCTATGAACTAGCAACTTCACTCCTATGTGCTTTAGAGAAATGTGCATGTAGAGCTATTGTTTACAGTAGCCAAAAATTAGAAACACCCAAATATCCATAAATAAATTGACTACATAAATAAATGATAGCTTATTCTTCATTGGACTATTATACAATTTATGGAACTAATCAGCTGTAGTAATATACTGTAACATGCTTAAATCTTCCAAAGTAATTTTAGACAAAATAAGCAAGGAAGAAAATAATACAGTACAGTTTCATTAAATAAAATTCAAAAATAAGAATATCATTTATAAAGTTACACAGAGGTGTTAAAACTATGAAGAAAAATCAAGTAAATGACTGCCATGGAAGTCAGTATGGTGGTTATTTCCAAGAGAAAAAAGGGGGACAGAGATGAGGAAGGGGCACACAGGATATGTTGGCAATGCCCTATTTAACATTTGCTAACCTATATACTTAAGTATTTTTCTGCATGTTTGTTATAGTTGCCAATAATTTTTAGTAAAGTGATGAATGTGGTTGAATGAGAAAGTGCAGGTAGGAGTTAAGGTATTAAGGCTATATTTATAAGTAGTAAAACAGAAGTCAAGTTCCTCCAACTGCTCAGGGAAGACCTAGATAATGCAGTTTGAATGAAGGTAAAGTCAGTGACTGTAAAATAATGCTTTTTCATACCTCTTAATACATATTTGGTAATGCTAGTACAAGAGTCTGTATTGATTGAGGTCCTTCACCCTGGATGCATTTTACAAGGACCTGGGGGAGATCTTAATATTCCCCTCACACTCAAGGGTCTAATTTAACTGTTCTGAAATGGAGCCTAGACCTTATTCTCATTTATTTTTGTATATTCATTTATGATATCTCTCTTTCTCTCAAGCTCACTAGATGATTCTATGTGTATTCAGGCTTAAGATTCACTGGTCTGTATTAGTAATTGTCATCAAAACAATCATCAAAATAATGCCTATTATTCGGGGCCCCTATTTGTGAGGCACTGATAGATTACATGTATATATATATGGATATACATACAGATATGTATATACAAACACATATTCTCAAAGTAATTAATTTTACAAATGATAAAGTTGATTTTTAGAAATTATTAAAAAGCTTATTTAAAATTGTGTCATCATAAATGGAGTCAGATTTGAGTCATGTTTAAATACCTAATCTTCTATCAAAATATTAAGTGAAAGTACACATGAATTTTTTAGCTTAAACACATTAATGTGTATAAATTGTCTTTTGAATTAAACTTTAGCCTTTTTAATTAATAGGTACTTGTTCTATTTATGTCAAGCAGGAAGATTTTTGCTGCATTCCTTACCTGCACTCTCCTTTTAGCCAATCTGGTCTATTTATTGCCCTCTGGAGCTATTGCTTTTTCCTCTCTATCTAACTAAGTTTATCTGTCAGGGTTGTTTACAACACAAACATCTTTGAAAAGGCAGTCCAGAACAAAAGCAGTCAATGTTTGGCTTTTGAGACAGGCAGAGATGCAAGATACCTATGGAAACTTGTCTCGCATAAGATCCATTTACTCCATCTAATGTGTCTTGAGAGCTTTGTGTCTTGGTCCTGTTTCTTCTCAACAGAATGAGAGTCCTTTGTAGTTAGAGGGAAAAGAACCCATATGAAGCATTTATGAGTTATGCTTGTGAAATTCTCATGTTTGTAATATTGTGACTCACTTTGTATGGACCTAAATATGACTGATATTTTTTCAGTTGTTACAGTGAACCACTGATTATCATTAAGATATCTACACCTACATGGTCTGGCAATTTGGTTATACCGATGACCAAAGCTGACTTATGTATAAACTTTAGTGAATTAAAAAGAGATGATAATTCAAAATCAATTGATATCTGTGTCATAAACTGAAGAAAGAAGATATCAAGTGTCTTCTCTTCAAGAATTCAGAGTCCACTTAATTTACTCATATTGACAATGATACATACCCAACATTATTTTCAATTCATTTTCAACTTGAGCCACAAAATGTAAGAACCCTACTGGTTCTGATGATACCGGAATTTTCCCCTTTAGGAATTTCTTACAGCGAACTGTGGTATGCTGCTCAGATTCCTCCACACCCATACAGGACTGACACTGTCTACTGCTGCATGTTATAACAAGTGAGAGCTCTCTAGACTTGCACCTCCCTGAAGCAGCTATCTTGGCTGAAAATAGCAACCATCTGGTAAAAAAAAAAAACTACTTCTGCCTTACCCAAGGTCATGCTTTCTTCTCAGGGACATCCTGAATCAAATGACTACTCAATGGAGGAGGAATAAAGACCTAGGACCTTATGAGAATCAGGGGTACACAGGAATAAAAAATAAATGGAGTCCTGGCCCAGGTCCAGGACTGGGTTCATAGAGATATCCAGCATTCCTTTCCTTGGCCCTTGAGTACATCATTGGAATAGAATACTTGGCAGTTGCCACAGCCTTATTTGCTCTTGATTTCTTGACCTGTAGGGTGAGAGCTAATATGATGAGGAAACAATGTGGAAGCCTCTGAAACTGATCTTCCCTGGGAACAAAGTGGGTAGAAGTAGAAAAGGCTCCATTTACTACTTGGGGATTTTCTGTCTCCTCACCCTGAAATACTGGGCACTTCAATTTTGCAGGACCTAATTCCTAAAGAAAAATGCTTCTAGTAGAAGACACAGCAAAAGTCCTATTAACCTTTGAGCTATAACTATGGTCTAGCTCCTCTGGCAAGAGACTTGGGGGCAAGGAAAGTCTCACTGTGCTTATCGTGGTAATTGGCCCTGGTCTTCAAAATGCAATGGGGCTGTTACTACTTAATGGAGACAGGTAAGAATGTTTGACAGTCAGGTACTGAGCATTTCTTAGGGTATCTGTGCCTGATTTTGACAACAAATGGAAGTCTAGTAGCCTCAGATGAGCATAGTGACCTGTATTCTAGAGCTCTGAAGATGTGAGTCAAGCCAAATGAAGGAACATGCAGATCAATCAAGGTACTAGTTCAATGTGAAAAAAAAATCTAAAATGGATAGCAGAGGGAAAAAACAAGTACACAATGTGGCCTTAAAACCAATGGCTACAACACAGATTGTAGTTTTTCTCATTAGTCTCACTTTTATAATTTTCTCCAGGAAAAAAAAAGGGGCCCATTCAAATCAGAACAGCTCCCAAAAGTGACAAGAAGGAAGCAAGTGGATCCAAGCAGCCCTGTGTATAGAGAATGCTGACTCCAGACCAGAAGCTCTCACTCTCCCCCTGCTGGGAAATCCTGGAATGACAGCTCTCAACTGACTCCCTGAATGAGAATTGCTCTCTGAGGAAAAGTGGCAGGACTTTTCCAGGGCAGTATTCCAGTAAAAAATACTGCCTCTTGCTTCACTTCAGGACAACTCGGAAAGGTCTATGCAGCTTCAGGATTCCCGGTGACACTGTCTAAAGCCATTGCTGAGGCCCCACTGCAGCAGGATTTCTCCAGTCCTGCTTCCTCTGCTGTCTCCTGGTGGTGACCCTAGAGTCCTCCCCAGTGACCTGAGCACAATCCCCTACCTCCAGGCTGTTTTGGAGAAAACTTGGTCTGTAACATCTACTAACTTTGTTTTCATTACAAGCTAAGTTTAAAACACTGAAAATTAATAGTGGATGAGAAAAAAATAAAAATGCACTGCTTTAAAATTGCTAAGAACAGTTTTTCATTGGAAACTGTCCAAAATTATAGACAATTGCTGTTTAATTGAGCCAAGTTAATTATTAATCTCACACTATATATTCACATGCATTGCATAAAGATATATTTTAAACTTTAAATATTAATTATTCCATGTTTACATTTTATTATATATCATACACACACACTTATATATGCATACACATTTATTGCAGTGCTAGAGAACATGGTCTTGTAAATACTAACCAACTTAATGTATATTTTGAGGAGCTTTTAGGTACATGTTAATTCATAAGCCATATCCTTCTCAAATTTTACCAAGACAATACAGCTGTTGCTAAAAAATTAATATAGATACAGATTTATATTAATAACATTTATAATTAACTAATGCAAAATATTTTGCTTGTTTGATAGTCTTATTATTGATAGTGAACTTGACCTCCAAACTAAGAGAAACTTAACATACTTTCACAGTGTGTTTAAGCGTCAAGAGTATATCCAGCCTTTCATCCTGAGAGATGTTTTTCAGCATAATGCACTTATAGATGTTTTTCAGCTCTCTAGCTCTGATGGTGAACTGTGTATCCATCTCAATTGATTTGCCATCAGGTCTTCTCCATATCTTGGAGATGAACACTTGAAAATAATAGTTTATAATTATAGTTAATTAAAGTTTAAAAATAACAATTTTATTCTGTGGAAAGTTTAATATCATTTATAACTAAAAGTTTCACTAAAACTTTAGACAATTTTAACTGAAGAATTTGTAGATCAAAAAAAAATAAAACATTTTAGAAAGGAAAACAAGCTGTTCAGTCCATAGAAGTGAAAAATACTTGTGAAGGATGCAGAATTTGTGACTATTTCATCCTAATTGGTTTGTTGAATGGTTTGATGGGTATAAGGAATTACTCATTAGCCCCATGGGGAGAAAACATGCATTTAATAGGTTTAAAAGAATTATCTGCATGGCTCAATTATACTGAGTGTGTGTAAATGTGTCTTGATCATGCCTTGCCAATTGAAGACAACTTTAATGGAGCAGTTGTGACCATCTCCATGTGTTTAGACCTAAAGAAATAGACTATGTAAGTTATGGTTTGGAGGTCTTAAATAAAAATAAGTCTATAACAAGCTCAAAATTCTTCACTAAACAGGTGTCCTTGGCTAAAGTTATACAGTTGGCATTCTGTACCAGTAAGCTCTGCACCCTCAGATTCAACCAACCAAAGATTGAAAAATATTTTTTAAATAATGTATCTATACTGAACATATACACACCTTATCTCTTTTTTCTTGTCATTATTCCCTAAATAAATATGGTTTTAAAAAAACACTACACAGTATTTATATTACATCATGTTTTTCAAGTAATCTGAGATAATTTAAAGTATAGGGGAGAATGTACATAGGTTAGATGCAAGTACTATTCCATTTTATAGAAGGGACTTAACCTATAACTATAAATTTTGGTATCCTTGGGTGTTCTGGAACCAATCCCTCACAAATATGAGGAACAACTATATTTATCTATCTTAGCAACACTACAGTCCCTGCCATCTTGATCTGGCTAAAATTCTCACTTCTGACTTGGAACCCACCCCACCCAGCCTAGTCACCACCTAAACTGAGGAGTAAAAATGGAGTTCACTTGCCCTGAAGCTCATCCAAGGATTCCCAGGATAAGAATTCATAGACAAGAGATTGGAGAGGGAATGAGTCTTCTACACACTAGGACCACAGGATAATCTTTAATGGTGGCACCACTGTGTTTGCCACTGCTTCTGTTTCTGCCTACTAAGAAGATGCACTCACAGTGAAAATTTACTATCTGTTCTTCTACTTCAAGGTAAAAAGCTGCTCAGTTTCTTTCCCTGAGTATAATCCTTCAGAGACAAGACTGTGTTGATCACAATTGTTACCTGTTCGAATGCTAGATGTTTTGTAGGCTAATTGTTGGTTCGTTTGGGATTTTTGTAACACAGTTTATGCCATACTTGCAACCAATTAAATCTTAACGTGTGATTTAATTTAAAATTTAAATGGAAGCTCTATGTTTAGGAACAAATCATTAGGAATGTATAATGACCAAATGGGCACATAAGGCTATATTTAGAATAACAGTGTTAATGAATAAGTCTAAGTTATCCATCAGTTTACCTTAATTTTTACTTTGTATCTTAGCCAAATAACATTGAGAACCACAAAGCCACCTCTTACATTTGATACATTTTCAAAATAATGGTAACATATTCTAGTCAAAGCCAAAATAAATGTTGCTTAGAGCCAGGAACTCTCATTAGAAACTTTAGATTCTCACTTCTAGATTTAACCCAATAAATGAGAAGCTATAGCTTATGACTAATTTATATTAGTATATAAATGGGCTTTTCCAAATATTTTCTACATTCAAATCCTTCCCAACCTTCATGAATATGTAAATAATGTATTGTTAATTAGTTGACTGATAGACTTAAGAAAAATTGATTGAAGATTATAAAAAGGCAGCAGAGCAATAATAAAATATTTTATTATTTAATTATTTTTCCTTAGAAACAACCATTTTAAAATGAATACAGCCTTAAATCAGGTAGGCCTCAGAGTGTTAAAGAAGTATAATACTTGTTTCAAAGTTCTTTTTAAAATGTTTTAAGGAATAAGCAATCTCAGGCTAAGTTTCCTATTGTAATATTCTGAAGTCTAACTAGTATCAACCTTTGCATGCAGTTTTTCTCAGGTGGCTCCATTAAATATAATTTCCTTTATAATAGAAATGTAGACAATACCTTTTGCTCTGCAGGCTGGTAACTTATTTCATCTGCAATAATCCTTATAATAACCTTTTAATAAAATGTCTACTTTATCAGATTTATTGTATTTTTTTTCAGTTGATGCAATGACTCTGCATTCTTTTCAAGATTTTAGCCCTATTGAATACAGTGTAATGCAACAATATCTTGGGCTTTTCCAAATATTTTCTACATCCAAATCCTTCCCAACCTTCAATTTTGAATTCACACCCTACCTTTCTGTAAAGATGCCTCTAACACTATGGTTTGAAGCAATAACATTACTTCTACCCAAAATCCTATTAAACTTTTAAAACACACACACCCATACACATAAATACATGTAAGTATGCAGTGCCTTCACTTCAGTAACTCAGGCAATGAAATTTGGATCCAAATAGTTCTATAATTATTTCATGCTTGTTAAATCTATTTCTCCCAACGATTACAAAAAATAAATTTCTCATGTAATTCTGGATGTTTCATGGGGCCAATATTTCTCATTCATTCATTCATTCATTCAACAAATATTTAATGTGTCTACTACACATTAGGGAGAATACTAAGCACTGAGTAGATAAAATACTCTCCTCGTTTGAAAAACTTTCAAATCTTGATGCAAAGGTAAGAAAATAAGTAATTAAAATAAAGAATGAGTGTGGTTAGCAGTTGCAGGTAAATAAGTAACTCTGGGTTGCTATAAAGAACTTCACTCATGGAAAGAAAACAGTATCTGAGATGAAACCTGAACAGTAACCAGGAGTTGTCCAGATTAAAGAGAACTAAGTGATAAAAATCAAAGAATCCTAAATTTGAAGTTCTAGTTCCCTTGAGATGACATGGATAAGATATAAAAAAAAAATCTGCTTGGTAAAGCAGTTTTTATACTTGGATGTATTTCTGCCAACACTGATAACTTGGTCTTCATGTATAGGCTTCTTTGATTTCAGGCCTTAGGATACTTTTTTACTCTGATGCAGAAAAATGTCAACTTTGCTTATTTCTCTCTCCTATTTCTTTTCTTCTTTGAATTCTTTGGCTATAACAAGAGATATACAATAATCATGTACTTAAATTGCTTCAGAAAACAGGAATGTAATAAATTCCATTTAGCTGCCAGCAAATGAGACAGCACAGACTCTGGAACAGAGAAACAGAAGAACAGCAGGAAGACACGTTTCAGGGAAGGGCAGGTAGAAAGATAACAAAAACCTTGAGAACAGTAGGCCTCCACAAAAGGGAAGAAATGATGTTATTGTGAGAGCAGGTTTTTTTCTCCCTCCTAAATTAATTCAAAAGTCCCCAAGGGCACAAATGAGGCCAACCTTCACCCTCCAAAAGCCACTGTATGGAGAACGACTTTTCTTTTATACGGCAAAGGATTTTGTTCATCTATAGCAATACCACTGCGCAGAGAGAGGTGGATACATTTTTTTTTTCTATCCCATTAGCTGTTGGCTACCTGAGTATGGAGGAAAGGCATTTAGATGACACAGGCAACATGAATTGCAATTTCTAAATCTTGTGATTGTGAGAAGCAGTATATGAATCAAAGAAATAAATGGCCTTGACTCTAGGGGAAAGCTCTTACAGAAATTCAAATGATCTCTTTACATAGTTTGGCTAAAACTACCCAAGATATATTAGAAACAAGCTGATGATTTTTCATCCAAATTTTTCTTGACCTGAATTTCTTTACCTCTATCATCCTGTAAATTTTTAATATTTGGTAACCTGTGGAAGTCAGTTTAATGTGTTAAAATTATAAACTATTTAATGCTTCAAAACACTTTAAAAAGACTTTTTATTAAGAATAAGAACTTAGCTTATTCCTTGATTGGACTAATTAAAAATCATATCACTCATTAGACAGAGAAACTTTACTTTCATAATAAGATTTTAAAAATTAAATAATGGTTCAATAGACCACATAGTATTTGGACTCAGTGAATTTGAACATAAAATCGTATTCTCTGAAGTTATTTCCAAATTATAGGAAAGTAAATATTTCTTTTGAAATACCTATCTGTTATGGTTCTAAATATAGATCTTAAAATTTGTACTATGGATTTGTTTGTTATTTTTCACATCAAAAAGAGCTATGACCTTATCTAGCTGTAGGGATTAATTATAAGCTATTTTTAGCTATAAGTTACTATTTTTAACTATAAGTTATTTCAATCAACACTTATAAAATCAACACTGACTCCTCCTGATTATTAGAGATAATACCCGGTATGGGGTGGAGGAAGTGAATAGGCATGAAGAAGAATAGACTTTGTACAGGTATTTATTACAAAAAATAAATATACAATTTATCTTATTTTCTAGGTGTTTAGTATAACAACATATACAAAATGGTAATTAAAAATGATTTGGTACTAGAGAAGCAACAATTTTTTAAATTTGTCATAACAGGTTAGAAGTAAGCTGAAAGTCACTGTTGTTCAAAGACTAGACTCATTTGGCTATGTAAAACACTAGGGATTGTTCTCAAGTGTACTTGTTCCATTGTGTGGTGTGTTTTTCTTACACCAATATAATACTTTGGTAAAAACTAAGGTAAAAATTCCCTGTGTCAGGTAAACTATCCATTGCCTCTGAATTTAACCTAGAGATCGATGAGGTGGACTGGTTTATCAGCTGCAGTATCTATTACGTTTAAAACTTCAATTCTAAAATCATTAACCCACAAAAAGCCTTCATTTGATTTCTTCTTGTTCTTGTGGCTAACATTGACATTTTTCTCTTTCTTCTATGTGTGCTACTCTGCATCAGCCTGAACTCAAAGTGAGCTCATTGCCTCAGGTCTCTCTTCCCTTCAGAAAAAAGAATCCTGCACTTAATATTTCCTCTATTTAACAGCATAATTTTAACTTTTGACTGTCACAAAAAGTCACATTGTGCCCCACTGCCTCCCAGCTGTCTCCATACTCTACTTTCTTTCTCTCTGGTGTGACACTCAACACTCTCCCACTCCACCAATTTCCTGATGCAGAGCAATTCTTCCCGTACTCAGGATCCTTCAATGCCTCAGACTCTACTCCAACTATTTTTCAAAATTCTTAGGAAAAAAACAAAACTGATCTTCCTTCCTCATAAGAATTCCCATGAACAAAATTTGTGCATCTCATTTTTTGGATGAGATTTGTATAAAGACCTTAGTATGCTGTACTTCATGAAAAAGAGCAACACACTGACTCTGGAGTCATTTTTAAACATTGGGCCTTGATCTGACTCTGGAGTCATTTTTAAACATTGGGCCTTGATCTTCTGATGAATCCTTTATATACTTAAAAAAAAAAAAAACAGAAGTTTAGAAACAATGCTAGAAATGGGGCCTGGAATGGTGAGGTGTTTGGGGTGTAAAGAAGAATAGGTAGCATATAAATATTTACACGAATAGAATTTCAAATATCTTATAGGAAATAGAAAGTAGCAATGGTAGCACAAATAGGAAGTCCTAAAGAAGGCCCAGCTTCAATTAAGGAGAGGTAGACATGGATACTACCCATTTTTCCCTGCCATTGAACCTCAGAAGCCTCCAACTCTTTGAAACATTTATTTTTGCCCTGGACCAATGCTGTCCTTTTTGGTGAAGTTAACAGACACGAGAAAAAAACAGCTTCCAGTGATGAAGCTTGGAGGCAAGATAAAACAACTTGCTAAAGGGACAAATTTAGTTTGATATCTGGCTACAGAAATATATCATGGTTTCCCTACAGTAAATTCATCTTTCCCAGAATTAAGATACTCAAGAATTTAAAATGACAGGGTCTACATAATTTGTTGATGATATCTGGAATATAACATAAAATCATATGGCATTATTTCAATCCCTTGTTTTTCCTTCATCTTTCTTCACAAGCATTTATTGATACTACATGATAAGGAATATGCTAAAACATGAGGGTATAGATATGAATGACATCTCTTGCCTTACAAAGTTCAGAATCTAGGAAATATTCAGGCATGAAGTAGAGATGATAAGAAAAAGTACTGTGTACAAAGGCACCGGTAAGACGGAGTTTCATGAGAGCAAGTATGCGGGCTAAAGTAGGAAGATCAGCAGTTTCTCTCAGGAAGGTGGCATCTGAGCTTGTTTTTCAGGGTGAGTACCCAGCTACTAAAGAAGATGGAAAAAGATATTCTATGTAGGGGCAACCCCAGATGCAGAAGCCTCAAGAGTACATGGTCTTTCTGGGAAAATGCAAGTAATTTAGAATGACTGTAGTAGTGTGGATGCAGGATGCAAGGAAATAAGACAGTGAAACAATAGTGCAACAAGAATAGACCATAAAAACCACTGTTTTTATGTACAGAGAGACAGGATCAAAGGTATGCTTAATGAGGTCTTTATGGTAATGGTATGGATGATGAAGAGAATGGAAAAGTAAGACTTTTCCAATTTGGAAACAAAGTAATCCAGATGAAAAAGAAATCCAGATTCAATTAAGTGAGTGTCAATCTCAGACATGCAAGGTAAGAAAAACAAGTCCTGTCTCATGGCAGTCTCCTATGGAGACAGGGAGGTTGGACAGAAGAACAGTCACATTGCATTCCTCAGAAGCCTCCCATCCTTTTCTGCTCCAGGATGATCCCAAGGCATTTTGACAGGACTGACAAGATTAGCTGTGGTTCAAGTCTTGGCCTGCCTGATCTATTTGATACAAACAAAGTCATCAGCATGTCATACATAGCACAGCCATTTCCCCATAGTCAATGACAGTGGTATTGGAAAGGAATATGTAAAAAAATTAAGGCAATATTAAAGTAATTAAAAAAAATTGGAAGATGAGAAAGTTAAGGATAACACCCAGATTTCTATCTGGAGCAACTTTGTAAATGCTAAAACATTCACAAAGATAGGTCATATGCTATAGATTAGGAACCGTTTAGAGGTGAGAGGGGCAAAAGATAGTGAGATGACATGACAGGGTTACCGTATATTCTTAGGATATCCAAAGAGCAATCACAGTGGAAACTGGGTATGTGGTTTGGAAGCTCCCGAGGCTCTGGCCTGGAACTGGAACAAGCTGTAGTTAAAGCCAATGGTAAACAGAGATCAAATAGGAAAATGTGCTAGTAAAATGAGACGAGAGCCTTGAAAGTCTCATGAAAATATGTTTTTTAGAACAAAGAAGAGTCACAGAACTAGAATCAGTATAGGCTAAACATCCTGGAGAACTGCATCCTTTTCTTTTTCTGGATAGATTGTCTTTTAATTGTTTGGAAAGATCAAGTTTATAAAAGGAAATTTGTTACCATGGAAACTGGATATTCAATATCAAACAGGCAGTTTGACCACAAAAGGGTAATTACTTTAGTTTTCCCCTTAATTGCATGTTTCCATGCTTTTCAATAATCATATATCCTCTCAGTCTGAAATTTTCAATCAGCTAGGGCTCTGGTGAGTCAAAGCAACAGCACTGGTCTCCAGCTGTTTCCTCAGGTTTTTGACCTCTACCCAGACAGTCTATGACTTTAATACTCTAAGTTTTACCAGATTATGAAGTTCATCTAATTGATACAGCCACAAGAAAGTCATAAGGCACCTGTCACCATCTTTTCCCTCATGGCTAAATTCCTTTAGTTAAAACATGTTAATTTCATGTTTCCTGTCAAGCCATACTCTAAGTGCAACTGAAATCTACTGCTACATCAGAAGAATAATTATATAGAATTTAAAGAAATATATTTACAAAATGCTAAAGAAAATTTATGCAAATTCTTACAGTATATTTTTTAAATCTGAGAGTATTTTTTTCCTTCTTATACATTATCTGTTTATTGTTGTGCCGGGTGGGGGTACATTGTAGCATTTATGAGCCTTTATTTTTTAAAACATTTTTATTAGCATATATTAGTTGTATACTGGGTTTCATTGTAACATTTCCATATATGCTTACAATGTACCTTGGTTAGGTTCATCCTCACCATCATGCTCCCTCATCCCCCTAATTCTTATTTAAAATGATTTTTGAAAAGTTTCAAAGCTCTACCATCATATACATATATAAAGTATATCAACCATATTCACTCTTCTTTTCCCTCTCCATTCACCATCACCCTCCCCCTAACAGGGCTTGTTTTACATTCCTCTCATTCATTATTTAAATGTATATTCGTTGTTCAAAGGGGTTTCACCAAGATGTTTCAGCAATGAATATATTGTACTTTAATCATCTAATCCCTCCGTTATTCTTCCTTACCCTTTTCCCCAACTCCCTTCTATTCATTATTCTGCATTTTTAAACTCAGGATACATTCATATTTAAATAATAGTTACTTCACTAACCTTATCCAGAAAAGCTTGTATTGCTGTTTCCTGATGCTCCATATGAGCAATGTATCTATGTCTCCCAATGGAAGCGATTAACTGTGTCTCTTTTTCCAAAAGTTCACACAAAGCAGCTTTCCTTTCAGCTCCAGTAAAACATTGGTTAATGCGTTCAAGTTCTTCTTGCCTCCAGACTAAAGGAACAAGATGAAAGATTCTTGAGTTTTTTAAATCCCACATCTTTACAGAGCATTTTTTACCATTGCATCCTGACAATAGGTATTTTATTTTTGAATCAATTTAAACAAAATTATACATGAATAGAATCAATCATGCTGTATTCCTGATGTGTGGAGCAGGGAAAATAGAACTAAATGGAATCTGAGAGACTTAAAGTAACAAAGGCAGAGTCAAACAGAAGCAAAAGGAAATCACAGATAATGTCAAATTGTTCCTTCAAATATGCATATGCACTCCCCATTGCTGAAATAATATGACTTGGGTTTTGTGGCAGCCATGAATGTGTACTGCTCAGATCTCCTTTCAGGAGACAGTACCTGTCTTAAAGGAGAGGTAGTTGACAGATCCAGTACTTTGGATCTGCTGCTATGCTAGGGCAGAGGCTACCTGCTACTCACAACACTCACAGTGACTGGGAACCATGAGGGACTCAGGGTCTGACTGTGTCTGCCCAACAATACACTTTTCTATGGTCAGTCAATTCAGAACTGACTGTTGGGCTGGCTTAGATTTCCCTAGAGCTGTATCAGCTTGTGATCCTCCATACCCCATCCTTCTTTCTTCACTCTCTAAACTTCTTCAAGTGTCAAACCTCATCCCAATTTAGAGGTTTTCCTTGCCATCTTCCTCCACCTCTTCACTCCTTTGTCTTTCACTTCTTACTCCATCTTAGTGTCTGCTTCCCTGAGGAGAGTTTTATGTACAATTGTTGACCTCAATTGTTACCCTCATTCACCCACATAACACTTTCCATTTCTTCACAAAACTCTAAATTATGTTATAATATAATTGCCTTTATTCTGTATTCAAATAATATGCTCCATTATAATATTTATGATAATTTAAAGCATTGGTTACAATTGATAAAGATGGTGCCACCTGATCCCAAGGTCTTATATCCCAAGACCAAATCATAAAACATCAAAGAACAATATTTTAATAAATTCATTCTATCTAAAGAGTAATAATACCATATTCTCAAAAATTTACCAATGTCATAAAATATGGATTACTAGGTCCTAAATCAAACTTAAATGAATCAAAATTTCTGATCCCAGATATATTCATTTTAATGAGTTCCATTCAATTCTTAGACATACTAAATTCGAGAAAGAAAAAATTTTCATCTCATATTTGAAAACTGTCAACCTTGTGTACATTAACATAAGCATAACTTGGGAAATAACCTTGGATATTAAATTGCTCAGACCTACATTTAAGAAGTTGTCAGCAGAGAATTCCAAGATGGCGGCTAGAGGTAGGAAGCAGAAAGCGACCCTCCTATAGTGAAATCTTGGAGAGACGCTGGAGACACACTTGCAGGCATAATCACCGAGAAAAGGCATAACTTTGACTCCTCCACATCTCCAGCCGGCGCAGAGAATCTCCACTTCACTTTAAACGGAGAACCGAGGAGGGCCCCCAGGGCCGCCAGTGGCCGGCACCCATAAGGCTTGGGAAGACGCGGACCAGGTGAGCTTCGCGGTACCAGGTACAAGCCTGGGCCAGAGCAGCATAGCCCCCTGGACAGACTGACCTCCACCCGGGAAAAAAAGAGAAACTGAGTACTAAGCAATAAGAACAGTTAAGACGCTGGAAAGAGGGTGGGGCGCCCTGAGCGCTGAAGATTGGGGAAGGGAATCCTTCCCGGGACTGTAAATAAACGAGCCGGCGCGGAGAGGCTCTGGCGGGAGCGGGGCGCGCCAGCAACCAGGAGCGGGGGCGCTTGTGAGAGGAGGGAAGACCCACTTCCCACGTGAACTGTAAATAAACAAGCAGGCCTGACAACGCGGGGCAGTGTCACCTTTCCCAGTGCTTGGAAAGGGGAAAGCCTGTAGCAGAGGCTCCTGCACAGGAGAACTCTGAGCAAACAAAGCCTGTGGGACCAGGTGAGTGCTAAGCTCACCCCAGAGATCTGCATAAATAACGCCGCCAGCTACAGGCTGAGAGCAGCAGGCAGGCAAGCCACAGTTGCAGATACCATTCTCAGAACTGCCTCCAGATGCTTTTTTTTCTTTTTCTCCCTACCTTTGATGAGAGAACAACCGAATTACACCTGCAAGCCAAAAAACTTACTGAAACTGTATTGCATTTTAACTGGGGACACTTGGTGGGGCTTTTTTTTTTTTTTCTTCTTCTGTGTGTGTGTGAGTGTAGTTTTGTTCTACTTTATGCATCCCCTTTGATGAGACAACTACAGAACAACATCTGAGGCACCAACTCCAGGACTGGAGATTGAGACGGACATCCAAATTATTAAGACTGAAATTGCATTGCATATAAACTTGGAAGTTTTTTGTTTTTTTTTTTAATTTTCTATTTTCCATTTTATTTTAATTCATTTTTATATATAGATATTACTTTCATATACTTATTTTTTATTTTTTTATCTTTGATTTTCAATCCTCTCTCTGTCTCTCTATTGTCTGTTCAGCTTACTGTCGATTAGTACACTAACACTCCCTGTTTATACCTTTGAAACTCTCTTGTCTGATACCTTGTTCTGCTTTCTTCCTCTTGTCTGTATATTTGTTTTCCCCTTTTCTTTAACTTCTTGCTTTCCATCTCAAGCTCACTCTTCCATTCTCAATATTACCATTGTTATTATTACAAGCTAGAAAATACTTAATTACACACAGTACAGGGACAGTAACAACACCAAGGACAATGACAGGAAGACAGAAAAAACAAGGAAACCAGTTTCCCCACAGCAAAAAATTAGTACAGGAACCAGAGGGGAATGAAGAGAACAAGAAACTCAGAGCCAGACTCCAACAAAATGAAGATAAAACTATGCCAAAGGACCCAATGAAGCCCACAGAATAATTTAAAAGAATATACTTACAAGTACTCAATGAGAATTTTATAGAGATGATACTGGATAGGGGTCAACCAAAATGTACAGGAGACACTCAAGAAATTCCAAGACAATAAAAATAGAGAATTTGAAAAAGCAAAAGAAGAAATAAAGGAAACCATAGAAGCACTGTATAAACACCAAAGTGAAAGAGAGAACACAATGAATAAATGGATAAATGAACTCAGGACAAAAATAGACAACATAAAGAAGAAAACAGCCAGGATATGGAAAACCTCAGAAAAAAAGAACGAAACAGAACTGGCAAAACAAAACGGAAGGCCAATCCAGCAGAATAGAACAAACAGAAGACGAATCTCAGAACTTGAAGATGAAATGGTAATTAAAGGAAAATGAAGAACTATTAATTAAACAACTCAAGAGCTGTGAAAAGAAAATGCAAGAACTCACTGACTCCATCAAAAGACCAAACTTGAGAATCATGGGCATCGAAGAGGAGAAGAGGTCAAGCGAAGTGAATGTGTAATATATTCAACAAAAATAATAACAGAAAATTTCCCAAAGCTAGGAAAGATATTCCATACAAATGCAAGAGGCCTCCAGGACACCAAACAGACCAGATCAAAATAGAACTACTCCACGACATATCATCATTAAAACAACAGTTCAGAAACTAAGGAAATGAATATTGAAAGGCTATAAGAGAGAAAAAAACAAGTAACATACAATAGGTAAACCCATCAAAATCACAGCAGACTTCTCAACAGAAACATTAAAAAGCAAGAAGAGGCGTTGGTAGATCTTCCAGTGCACTGAAGTGAAAAATAACTTCAACCCCAGGATACTCTACAGCAAACTATCATTCAAAATAGATGGACGCAATAAAAGTCTTCCAGAATAAGCAGAAACTAAAATAATATGTGACCACAACCAACCATTACAAAAGATTCTGCAAGGGATCCTGCACACAGAAAGTGACACCCACTTAACCAATGAAAAGGACAGGCACGCAACAAACCAGCAGGATTAAGCAACAAGCAAGACGTAGAGAGTCAACATCAAGTTATGGTAACATCAACATCAAACGTTCTAACTACTCCCAGGATGAACTAAATTGGCCGGAATCAACCACATACTATCCACTAACTAACTTAAATGTCCAATGGACCTTAATTCACCATCAAAAGACACCGTTTGACCAAAATGGCTTAAAAAAGAAGATCCAACAATTTGTTGCTTACAGGAGACTCTCTCACCGACAGAGAATAAGCATAGTGCTTAGGATGAAAGGCCGAAAGAAGATTTACCGAAGCCAATGGCCGTCCGAAAAAAGCAGGAGTATGCAATACTTATCTTCTGTACATAAGTAGGACTTCAAACCTCCAATTGATCAACGAGATAAATAGGACATTTCATTAACTAATAAAATGGGGAAATAGACCAAAAAGGCAAATAATAATCATCAATCTGTACACACCTCAATGTCATTGCACCCAATTTCATCAACATACCCCCTGAAAGCCCTAAAAGCATGATATATAACGCAACACAGTGGTTGTGGGAGACTTTGAACACTTCCATTATCGATCAATAGATAGGTCATTCCAAGCACAAAAACTCAAATAAAGAAACCTAAGATCTATAAATATGCTAATCAGATCAATGTGACCTTAGTTAGAATGTCTACAGAACAATTTCATCCAACCTCTACACAATGATACAGTTCCTTCTCAGCAGCCCATGGAAACTTCTCCAAAATAATCAGATCCTAGGCACAAAGCCAGCCTACAGCAAATATAAGAAAATAAAATAATACCCATGCACTACTATTGACCGCAACTGCAGTGAAAGTGAACTCACAACAAAAGTTAAAGACACAAAAACATGCAAACACAGCTGAAAAACTAAATAAACTCATTACTTTAATGAAGAATGGATCCTCAATGCAATACAAGATGAAATTAAAAAGTTCCTAAAAGTCAATGAAAATGCATAAACAACACCCTTCGGAACCGTACGGACACCAGCTACGGCAGTCTTGAGAGGAAAGTTTTATAGCCTATGAAGTGCATATATTAAAAAGATTGGAAAGATCCCAAACTCATGACCTAATGATACTCTTTTTTTTTTCAAGAC